GCCTACAGGGAAAGCAGAGGTGATAGATTTTGAGTTTGGAAGAAATTAGGGGTAATGGAGCCAAACTCCAGACCAGCAGGGGATTGTGGGTAACCGGGCCAGACTGCAGCAGAACAGGGGGTCATGGGTCACAAAGTAGGGCTTCATTCAGCTCTCCATAAATCGTGGGTAACAGAGCAAGCCAGTCTCCCAAGTCCACAGAACAACAGGTCACGGAGCTAGGCTCCAGAAGCACAGGGGACTGTGGGTGACGAAGCCAGGCTTCCCCACTAGTTCCAATCTCCCTTCCCCCAGAAGCCCCCAGAGGCTCTCACAGGGCAGTCTTCCTGGCCCCAAGTATCTCCCTTACAGCTGCAGGTCCCCTTCTGCTCCTCCTAACCCACCCTGCAGGTCCCTTTAGGGGTCGGAAAGAGCCAGATCCCCACCCCAGGCCCTTACCCACCAGTGTCGCCACTCATCTGCTCACTTGAGGAGCCAGTCAGAGGAAGAGCCCTGCCCCCACTCACAAGGGGAGACTGAGGTCTCAGTAGAGACTCACACCCAGGCTCCTGCCTCAAAGCCGGCTGGTGCCTGTCCCCTACACCGCCCCCCTCGGCTCCCCGGCCCAGCCCTCGGAGGCCGGACTCGCACCGTCGTTCTTCTTGATCTCCCATCAGGCTCCTAGCTTACAGAGCTTCCTGCAGCAGCAGGCTCAGCTGGAGCTCCTGGCCAGACGAGTCACCCTGCTGGAAGCCATCATCTGGCCAGGTAACGGCAGGGTGGGCAGGTAGGGGTGGCCCCTTCCAGGAAGGGCCCAGGGACACATAAGTCACCTCCTACTGGTGGCCCCAGACCAGCAGACACCCCTCTAGTCCTTCCAGCCAGCCAGCAGACAGTCAGACGGTGCCTGACACCTTGCTGGCACAGGCTCCCAGATCAGACCTGTTCCTCTTCTCAGGGAGTGTAGGGTGCAGGGGCACAGGGGTCACCCTGGAACTGTTAAACCCAGAGTGAGGAACATCACGGTGTGGAGCAAGTGCTGAGAGCACAGAAGAACCCCAGCCCCGGGCTGGGGTGTGTGGGGAGGGCATGTCAGGGAGGGCTTCCTGGAGGAGGTATTCTCCAAATGAACCTGAAGAGCAAGGATGATCATTGGTAAACAGGCAGAGGAACAGCGCAAGCCAAGGCCAAGAGGCTAGGCTGTTCTGTGAGGTTGCTAGGGAGTGACAGCTGAGGCTAGAGAATCTGGCAGGCCCCGGTTTGAGAAGGCTTTTGAAGGGAGGTAGAAGGCACGGAAGGAGGGAAGACGCCAAGTGCGCAGCACCCCTCCCATGCCTGGCTTTTCACAGTGGGGCTAAGTTTCTCCCCATTAAACCGGAGCCCGTGGATGGTCGTGGAGAGAGGCAGAGACTGTCCGCCCTAAGGGCTGAGCTCCGGTCCTCACCTACCCGCTAAGAGGCCCCCACGGCCGTCCTCCTACCACCTCCAGCTACCCCATCTCACAGCCCAATCCTAGTACATCAGCGCACAAAGGCCTGGGACATCATGTCCAACTTCGCATCTGTTTTACAGATGAGAAAACTGAGTCCCCAAGCAGAAAGGAGGGCAAGGATGACAGCCAAGCCAACTTCATTCAGCAAAACTGTAGGGCACACCTGCTGAGGAGTGCCAGGTCAGGGGGGACACTCTGGGCCCATCAAGTGAAGGGGAATCCTCAGAATCTACAGAGATGAGGGCCATGGGTGACAGGAGCACCAGAGGCTGTGAGTGAGCGGCCATTGCCCCCAGCTGTGGCAGAGAGAACTCTTCCCAGCAGACGGGACCCTGGGACTGGGTCACGGAAGATCCTTAAGAGTCTGTGAGCAGAAGATAGAAAGGGCAGCCCCGACAGAGTCCTGTGTGGACAAAGCCCTGGAGGCTGGAAGGAGTATGGGGTCCTCTTCCCAAGCTTCTCCCACCTTGCCACGGGGTGTTCTCTATCTTTTCCAAAACATCAGTGACCACCTCCCAGACCTCCTCCCCCTCTCACAGATCAGGGCCCAAGGACCAAATCCCAGGCTTTTTCAGGTGTCCCTCACCTCCTCTCAGGACTGGGAGAGGAGCCAGAAGGGACTGTAGCCTTGGACCCGTAGCCCGTCTTCTCTTTAGTTGCCTCTATCCAGCAGCCCAGGGAGGGAGTGGTGGTTACCTGAGGTGCTCACGCCCACTCACTGTGGCCACCAGCCTGGGAGAGTGATCCCACAAGCCAGCCTGAGTCTTGACCTGGAAGGGGAGGTGAAGGGAGAAGGGAGCAGAGAAGAAGGAACTTTCCCCATTGTCCATCGTACACAGCAGGCGCTAACTAAAGATCCAGATTGGGCTCATGTTTAGGTTACAATCAATAATGAGGCAGTAACAGCCGTCACACATCCGGCCCACTGGGCTGGGGGATTTAAATCCAGCCCTTTTAACAAGCTTGCTGGGTGGGTGATACCATTTCACAGATGAAGAAAACAGAAGTGCAGAGAGCTCACGTGATTTCCTCAAGAGTCGTAGCAATAGCAGTGGTGAGGCCACAGATCCACCGTAGATCTGTCCTTTAAAGCACTGGCCCAGGGAAACCTAGGGCCCTAAATAGCATAGGGTCAGAATAGCATCTCATGAATAGCACTCATGACCACAGTGACCAGGCCTGCAGGATACCTGGGTCAAAAATACACCTAGTGACCATTAATCATCCAGCATTTACTGTGAAAACCACCTTCCACTCCTGGTCACCTTAAACACTTAAAGGGTATGACACGGTATTGTCCCCACGTTCCATACGAGGCTCAGAGGTTCTCATGACTTGCCCAAGACCACATCATTGGTACATGGTGGGACCAGGGTTTGGCCCTAGCTGATTGTTGGAGCCTGAGCTCCGTGCTACACTCCTCCTATGCTCCCTGATTTAGGGGATGAAATACCTTTGACTATGACCACACACACCTGTTTGTCCCAGGGGGCCCAAATATCAGCCTAGAGGTGTATGGGTGGCTGGGACACCCAGAGTCAGAGTGCTAAACAGCTAGGATTATGAGGGCATGGCCTCTGGCAGTGCCTCAGTGGAAAGCTCGTGCTCACCAGAGTCTAAGTGTCTGTCCCTTTGAACAGGACTTTGGAGGCTCAGCCAAGTCCCCCATCGTGGGGCTCTGCTCGAGGGTTCATCTCCCCCTGGAAATATGGCCCATCCTGATCTACCTGATCCACTTACTTAATGTAGAGAGGGACCGAAGTGTTAGTAGCAGAAGACTTGCTGGAGGAGGTACGCCTTGCTTGGGTGTTGAAGGATGAGTAGGAACTTTCTGGGTGGCAAGAATGCCCGTTTTTCAGTTTCACTCTTGCGGGACAGCTCATTTCCAGGTCGGGGCCTATTTCACCATAGCCAAATTAGAACTGATTTCCATAATTATTGGAGTTGGCCAGGACCTCAGAGTACACCTGGAACTATCCCTCCTGGTTTTAGAGATGAGACAACTGAGACCCTGGCAGAGATTAGACTTACCCAAAGCTGTACAGTAGGTCTGTGCCAGAGCCTGGCCTTCCTAAACTCTTCCATACCACAGGTGGCCTAACCCCCGGAGAGGGGGAAAGCAAGTCTATTTCCTGACCTTAGCTTACGCAACTATGAAACGGGGATGATTCAGGGCACACCTCTATCCCAAAGTGTGGGAAGGAACTATACTTTTATGGAGCATTCACTCCGTGCTAAGCATTTCAGAAACACAACAGGTTGATTGATTCTCACTTGACAGAGAAAATCAGAGGCCCAGAGTGCTCTCATTGGGTGGGGAGCTGATAATTCCGGGGGAGGAGGAGGGGGAGGCACTAACCAGTTTGCAAGCATCCTTCTTTCTCACAGCTCCGCCTCCCAGACGCCAGGGCAGAGCGTGCCTGGCCGGAGTACCCAGCGCTCCAGCCCCCAGAGGGCTGAAGGGAGAGGGGCACCTCACACAGACCTCACTAACCCTGCCTCTCTTCTTTCCCTCCGGCAGAACCAGAGGGGTCGGGGGCAGGCCCTGCCAGCACAGGCACCCCCAACCTCCTGCGGGGCAAGAGGGGAGGACTCGCAGCCAACTACCGGATCGTGGCCCCCAGGAGCCGCAACGAGAGAGGCTGAGGGCGGGGGCGGCCCTAGGGGCAGACCAGGCCAGGCTTCCCTTCCCAGCCTGGACTTGGCCAACTGCCTCCAGGGACCGCCCAGCCATATTTATTCACGTCCTCAGGGTCCCTTCTGCCACCTAGGCCTTCGGGATGGGCAAGTCTTGGTCCCAACTCCCTGGCTCCCTGTGCAAGCCTAATATGAAGCTGAGAAAGGACAGGGGCCTGAGAGAGAGGGGCAGCCCAGGCAAGAGGGGAGGCCTCACTCAGGGCCCTGGGCCTCTGTCCCCCTCCGGGAAGTAGGACAGGAAGAGGTGGCTGGTTCGAGGCTTTTGTCTTCTCATCAGCTGCCCAGGCATCTGGGCCTGGAAGGGCTGAAGGGAGCTGGGAGCTGGAGTTCTCCTGGGCCCTTGGCACACGCAGGGCTTGTCACCCCCTCCTCCCCAGCCAAACCTCGGGGAGCCCACCGCACCCCTCCTCTCCTTGATTTCTGGTGCTGGGTCCCCACCCTGAGCTCAGCTGGCAGGACGCTGGGGATTCCTTGTATAGGCCCTGCCCCATGAGCCCCCAGCCCCTCCCATGTCCCAGGTCGGGGTTGAGGCATGGAGAGGAAGGGGCCCCCTGGAGGTAGAGGTGTCCAGCCAATAAAGGCCCCCAGTCTGATGTCCCACTGGCCTGGTCTCAGTGTGTGCTTAGACGGGGAGCAGCTGGGCGGGGCCGGGAGCCCCTTCCCTCTTCTCAGCAGCCATTCCTGCCCACACGCAATGTGGGAGACTGAGCAGGCAGGGGGGCCAGTGCATCTCCACACCTCAAGGAGCTGTTCTGTGATGGGTCCTTCCTTCACTGCTTGTTCATTCATTCATCCCCCCTGCTGCCAATACAGAAGAGTCCGACACAACGGCTGCATCCACAGAGGTCCAGCTTGAAAAATGAACTGGTTTTTATTCTAAACAGTACCAGGGTGGGGAGCTGGAGGGGCCTCTTCCGAACCACACTGCAACCCTTGGCAGACAGGGCTGGGCTCAGGCTACCCACCAAAGGGCCAAGCCTCTTGTCACCCAAGGGCCTGCATGGGCTAGGGAGGACCAGGACCCTCAGGGTGAGCGGGCCCGCCCCTCCCTTGAGTCACCAGGGCCTCGGTGCCCACCTCCCCCCCAACCAGCAGCGACACGGCACCCTCCACTCGGCCTGTGGCTGCCAGGGCCACCACTGCCTGTTCTGTGGGGAAGCCCATGCGCTCCAGCTGCTGCAGCCTGTGGGATGGGGGTGGGGATGGGGAGGGGGACAGGGAGGGGACGTCAGGGCCACCTCCTGCCCCTGCATCAGGGGACCCCCCACCCCTCCACCCCCCGCCTTACCGCAGAGAGGAGACAGACGACTTGGGCACCCGGAGTGGGCTCTCGGGACGCGGCCCCTCGAGGAGTGAGGCCTCGATCCCCTCCTGCAGCAGCTGCTCATCCAGGGCTGCCCACAGTGGGGTCCCTGGGGGGAAGCTGGGCCCAGCCCAGGCCAGGCCCACCTCTGAGGAGCCCTCCCAGGCTGGCTGCACAGGCCCCAGGCCTGGCAGGAGCAGGGCTGAGCCTTCACTGAGGGCCCAGAGGCTAGGGGAGGCCATGTAAGGAGGTCCGGGGGTGGGAGGCCTGGAGGGGCAGAAGTAGAAGAGGGCCTGACTGCCAGCCCCTGCCACAGCTGCCACAAGGGGTGTCTTCAGCACTGTGCTCACCTCGCTCCGGCAGGATGGGTGAGCGGCAGCTCAGCTGGGATGCCTGGGGTAGGAAGGAGTCGGAGCGGCCAGCCCCCGGCCAGTGCCCTGCACAAGACGCCCTCCTGCAGTGCTTGCAGCCGCCGCTCTGACAGCTCCAGCCACCGGAAGGCCCCTGCTGCATCTGTCTGCCCAGGGCAGGGCAGCTGGTCAAGGAGAACCCAAGCCAGCTGGGGAAGGGGGCGTGGGGGAGCCCACACTGCATGCCAGGGCCCGGGCTGTGTGTGCCAGCCATTCCCCGGTCTCTCCTCACTGCAGCCTGGCAAGGGATGTCTCCTCAGTGTCTCCTCGCCCTAATCAGCGCTTGGGGAAAAGCGGAGGCCCTCGGGAAAGGAACCTGCCGGAAGCTACTCAGCCAGTAAGAGGTGGAGCCAGGTGTGTGTCTCCCCCGTACCCCGCCCCCACACCTGCTCTGTTCCCAGAGCCCCATGAGACTGCTCAGGTCTGACTCAAGGCCCACCCTGGGGCCCACTGACACTCCCCCGTAGCCCTCAGCCACGGCGGCATACTCCCTATGCCAGGATTCTGCCAGGCCGGGCAGCTGGTGTCCCCAGGCCTAAAAAAACCCCAGGGGGAGGTCGGCCTGTGCCCACTCTTCTCTTCAAAGGCACCATTTCCCCCAAGAGGCATCAAGCATCTTTGGAGCAAAAGTCTATATTTAATGCACCACCAGGCATAGGTGTTCCCCATTTCAGTGCTGACCCCCAGGCTCACTCCCACCCTGGCCTCACACTTCCTGCCCGGCCAGCTCTCTTTTTCACTTCTCTTCCCCTGAGCCCCTCATCCCGCACATCACATCATCACGTCGTAGCTCAGATGCCTCCCTCACTGGGGAGAGCCAGGTTGGGTGCCTGCTTGGGTCACCTCGGCCCTCCTGGCCCTCCTTTAAACAGTAGTTGGCAGTTGGCACCTCCCCCTGGCCATTGGCCCTGAGGCCACCCCACGCCCCCGCCCCGGAGCCTGGCTAGAGAAGCCGGGGATGCTCCCAGAATGTGTCCACGCACGCTGTCCGGCATCATTGGGCCCAACCCTCTTGCACCATTTCCCTCCCAGGCATCCTTGGGGGTGGGAGGGCCCAGCCACAGAACCCACATGTCCACATGGACCCTGAGCCCCGGCAAAGGATACAGGCCAGGCCGGCAAGAAGGCCGCAGAAGAGCTGCAGGAAGGGCGGCTCGGAGCTGAGCAGTGGTGTCAAGGCCAGCAGGAGCCAGGGCAGGAGCCACGGTGGCAGGACCCCCTGGGGCTGGCGAGGGTGGTGACCCTGCCCTGCCAGCATGGCCAGGTGGACGGGCATGTAGCCGCAGCCGCCAGCTGCACTGGACACCCCAAGGCCCGCCAGCAGCACCCCCATGAGCCCAGCAGCCAGGGCGAGCAGGGCAGAGGCATGCAGGAACCGCAGAGTTCCCAGGTGGCACTCCTGCCACCAGCCCAGAGTGGGCAGGAGCAGCAGGCTCAGGAGCAGGCCAGGTAGGGCCGTGTGGCCCAAGGCATGGGTCAGCAGCCGGTGTGCTGAGAGAGAGAAGGAGCTTACATGAGGGTCAGCAGCCCTAACCCCCAGTGCTGGCCCAGGGTGGTGATCACACCGCTGCAGGACACTGCTAAGCCAGCCTCCTCACCCCAGGAGCCACTGTCTGCCCATTGCCAGCACTTCAATCACCCGTGAAGGGGAGCAAGGGCTTCCACATGCTGTGGCTGCTCCACTGCTGTGTTAACCAGAGCAGGTCGGGCCCACCACTCAGTCTTCTCAAGAGCAACCCAACTATGGGCAACTCACTTAATGTCTGCTAGGAAACGACCATGCAGCTGGGGTCACTCCTTAAACTCCCAGGACCTCCTCAACATTCTCATACTAAGCTGAAAGCCTGAGTTCTTATTTTAAAGGAAAGCCACCAAGAAGGGAAGCTGTCTGAAAAGAATTCCTACTTACACGCTCCCACCCTTCACTGGCCCCTCTGCCTGGGTGCTCCGCCCTCCCTTCTGGGCTGCAGATGAGCTGGGCACGCTCCTGTCCAAGGCCAAGCTTCCCCCATGCCCTGGATCCTATCCCTGCTTGACCAGTGCAGGACCTGGTGCTCCTGCGAACTGGTCTCAGGCCCTAGAGCAAGTCTCCTGCCTCCTCAAAGGCCCAAGGGGCCAGCCCTCACCCTGCCAAGGGTCCAGCAGCAGCTCGGGGGCCAGGGCAAGGCTGGGCCCAGCCCCCACCAGCCACAGGCTGCCCAGCAGCAGCATCAGGACAGAGGAGGCAAGAGGCAGCGTCAGGGACGGTAGGCTGAGGGGACCTTGGGCATGCATAACGTGGCTGACGGTGTCAAGGGTGGTCTTGAGGCCGTGTGCTAGGAGTGAAGGAAAATAACACAGTTATTACTGCAATTTTTATCCAACTCCTTTCAACTACCCTCCTGATGGCCCCATTTTACAGTAGAAACAAGCTGGAGAGGCAGGCCCAGCAACTCCACCATACAGGAGCTCAGATCCTAACCACGTGCTTAGCCATCCTGCCATCTTGCCATCCCAGCTGCCTGTGTGTGTGAGGATGGGGAGAGGCCAAGCCAAAAAGGGCTCTGAAGAAAAGCCTGGGGTGGGAGGCGCAAGGCCAGCGAAGATGAACTAGGGCTCCGGACTCCCAGAAGGAGGGGTACAACACCCCAGGGCAAACTCAGGACCATCTCCAGCTTTCCTCTGCCTCTCTCTTCCCTTGGGCTGGAGACCAGGCACCTTCCTCTTTCCTCCCAGCCTTAGAGCTCTAGGTGGGCTCCGCTGCCCCTGATAGAGGGGGTGAGGCCAGCCAACAGGCAGGCATATTAGGAAAGGAGTGAGGCAGAAGAGCTGGAAGGGGGCAGGAATCCCACACTCTGAAGGCATACAAAGTGACACTGGACAGTCATCCCCTTCCTCTAGCTCTGAACACAACCCCTCTGGCCCTAGCCCCCCCTTTCACAGGAAGGCTCCAATATCCCCTCCACTTCTTCCTGCTGTGCCTCCCTGGACAAGTTTCCCACCCTCTGAGCTTCTCCTTCCTCATCTATAAAATGGGGATTAAGAAAATCCTCTCCCCAAAGGATGAGAAAAAGGAATGGACTAAGGCAGGGCCCAGCTCACAGCTTCTGTTCAATAAACTGTAGCCATCCCACTAACTGTGGGAGGCCGAGGAGCCACCAGATAGCCCTACCAGGGGACACCTCAACATGGAAGCAGCTGCTCCAGGCTAGCTGGGTCAAGCTCTGGCCCACAGGGCACAGGACTTGCTGAAACCCCCTCAGCTGTGGCCAGGCCTGTGTCAAGACTCCCAGTGACCAGATTTCATGATGCAAGAGGCAGGCTCTCAGAGAGACAAGACTTCTCATCTGCTCCCTTGCCATGGGCAACCTCAGCATCAAAACCCACCTGTCAGTTTCCTGCTGGAAAAATGTAGAAAGTTCCTCCACCTGCAATGTCCCTCCGTCCATCTCTCCAATAGGCAAGCTCCTCCTCACCCCCTTGAAGCCCAGTTCAAATGCCCCATCCCCTGCTTTGTGGATGTTATCCTATCTAGTAAGCACAGCCTTTCTTCCCAGGCAGGTAGTCTAGGCAGATGGCAGGTGGATTCTCTGTATGTGTTCACTGAAAGAGAGACTCTAGCTTGGCTCCAGGTATAAGGAACATTTTTGACTCCATACATTTGTGAAAGATTTGGGTGAGCCCTGCCCTTCCTTGGGCCTGGGCACCTGCCTGGGGAGGCTAGATTGTGTCCGGGAAGGCAAGACAGGTGCCAGCCAAGCCCAAAGCCAAGACACCCACTGAAAGCCTCCTCTTGCACCCTCCAAACCGCCCGCCCATAGGCACTTTCCAAAGCTGAAGGACTTGCCCATGGACAAACAGAACTGGAACTGGAACCCTCTGGGCCTCAGTCTCTTCAACAATAAAATGGGGCTGTGCACCATCAGGCCCGCCTACCTTACTGGGAAGCTCAGAGGACAGAATGAGAAGACAAGGATAGGGTAGATTCTTCTGAGAGAGAGTGGGGATCCCACGGTACAGGTCGAACTCAGCTTTATGACTTTAGGAAAAGTACCCCAATTCCTTGGGCCTCAGTTTCTCCTTCTGTAAAAACAAGGGTATTGGATGGGGGATTAAGATTAAAGGGCCTTCTCAACCTTGACCGTTAATGGGGGGGGAGGGGCTCTCGGGATCCGGAGCTACGTTAGGTGCCTCCCATCTACCCCACCCGCCTCGGCCCCCTCCCCCTCCGGCTCAGGCCACGTGTCCGGGGTACTCACTGCAGAGCGTGCCCCCCGCCCCTGGAATGCCATGTGGAGTCCCTGGCTGGGAGTCAGGACTCCAGCTTCCCGGCGAGGCCCGAAAGCCCAGACCCCATTCTGCCTGCACTCGGGCGCGTGACCCCGGCGGAGCCAGCGCGCCACCCCACCCATCCCCCCTTCCTCGTCGCCCGCCGCCCGCCGCCAGCCGCCCGCCGATTAGTCAGCAGTTGTTCTAGGCCCGGGTCCCTTCCCCCAGCCCTCCCGCCGGCCTCCGTGTCCCTTCAAGGCAGACTCTTCAGAGACGGTCCCTAGAGCCAGCGGACGAAACCATTCCGGAGAGCTTAGCTTTGTAAGGAGAATCTCCCCGGCTTGAAATCAATACCCGCTCACCCGCCGCTCCGGACCCTTTGGTGCTATTTTGGCCCGCACGTCATGTCCAGCGCTCTTTAGAGAGCATTAGGACAAGAGCTGCGGGCGGGAAGGACGAGAAAGCTGTGGTTCATCCCTCCTTCCCTCACCCCCGTGGCCTGCCCCGGTGGTAGCGCCCGAGGTTGCGGGTTTCGCGCCTGCGCAGTGCGGCGCCTAGAGGGAAAGCGAGAGGGAGACGGACGTTGAGAGAACGAGAAGGAAGGAGAGAAAATGGCGTCCACGGGTGAGTGTGGTGGAATCGCTGTCGCGCTGGCGACAGCCGGGACACCCAAATCAGGGGCCGCTCGTCTCTAGGGGTGGCCGGGATGACTGAATGGAGCTGCCGAGAAGGGTGTGAGGTACCCGCCGCGGCCCGACGAGCTCGAGGGCCCGCGTTCTTCTCCCCTCCCCCCACCGGGAAGGCCGGTTCTGGAACCTTCCGGCGCCCCCGGCGCGCGTGGTGCATGCGGCGGCGGGGGCGCGCGGAGCCTGCCGTGGTCTCCATTGTGTGGCAGCCGTCTGGCCCCGCGCACCCGGGCACCCGCCACGTGGGCGGGGCCTGCGACCTCCCGGGCCCCGCGTGAGGGTTGGGGGAGGGCTCGGCAAGGCCTGGAGCCCGACACCCCTAAACCGGAGGTGGGGGGGGTCGATGGCTGCTGGAGAAGCCGCAGCAACGCCGCTTCTCCAGCCTCCCTCCCCCATTTCCAGGGACGCGGCTCAAGCCGGAGGGCTACTGTTTGGTGGAGAAACTGGGGAGAAAAGCAAATAAAAAAGGCATCGCGGGTTTGTGAGCCGAGGGGTGCAGACCTATGAGCGGGCGCCCCGTAATGGGCCTGGTCGGCTGGGGCGTCCGGTGCAGCCGAGCTGCTCTCTCGGCGGGTTCCAGCCCAAAACCGAACTTCTGCCTGACTGGGTTTTGGGTGGAATGTGCTTCCCCAATCGGCGCCACCCCCCCCCCCCGCCGGCTTCTTCGTTATTACTCTTATTAATCCCACCTACTTTCTTCCCCAAAAAGCAATTAAGTGCTTCCCAGGGCCATTTTTCAGCAAACGCCGAGGGAGATCCGTTTTATAATAAGACCAGCCCGGATAGCGAGGCCCAAATACCTACCGCGAGAAAATTCTGGCCTCTTTGACCTAGGAGAAACAAAAGGCCGGAGTCGGCATTTGAATTACGCTTAAGCAATCGTCTCGCAAGTTTATTGTCCTAGGTTAAGCCGGCAGCCTTGTTTATTTCGTGGACTGATAGGAGAGACTGAAAGGAGACGCATGCTGTACTTTGAAAGAAGGCCCGGGATGGGAGCTCAAATGTGATAATGTAGGGTGGTCTCGTTTACACGAGTTGTTTAACCTTGTAGCGTAGAAATCACTTGTAGTTCGCAGCCTGTTTGTGCACTAACCTGCGGTTATCGGTAGGGTGGGGCTTTTTTTTTTTTTTTTTCTTTTTTGGCCTCTGGGGGTATTCTTAGGCAACCTACCAGGACTTAGAAGCGTTGGGAGAAGTCGAGGGAAGACAGAAAAGCTCTGGGTCCTTCGGAGATTTGATTGGAAACGGGTCGAGAATCCAGCAACTTAAAGACAATTTAAGGCTCCCTGAGCTGTGTGATCAGTAAGACAGGCAGGTAAATGGCTGGCTGTTAGTGCTAGGGTTCAGAATGCCCCTGGAAGAGAGGACTCTGAAATACCACAATCCAAGACACATCCTGGTGGGAAGTGTTTTCTACAGAGCCTTTTGCACCTTCCTCTTCCTTGCAGTGTTTGAATTTTTGTAAGGGGGAATGTTACTCTCCTTTCCTGTTGAAGCGTGGGGAGTCAGAATGTGTACAGTGAAATTTTTGCGTGGCTGGACATGCCAGTTTCTTGGTTTACTTCGCTCAAATTGTTTATTGGAAACCTCCATATATTATAGTAGAATTACAGTTGTGTTTTACATAGACACACAGTAGTATGTCAGCTGGAGGCTTATACTTATCTGGACTTTGGTTTCCTTTCCTTCAAAATGAAGGCATGAGGCTAGATCTTTTAAGAGCTTTTTGAGCCCTTAACCTCTTGACCTTACAGCAAAGCTTTTGGTTTCCACAAATTGCCCCATACTGATTTTAACTCCCTAGGTAGCTCGAAGCTCTAAATCTCTACTGTTTTTAAAGCATCTAAAAGCCACTATTTTAGGTCAAGATAGATGGTTTTTCTTCTCATGCATATTACGTATAGGAGAGTAGAGTATTTGTCCAGTCTAACAAAGAATTACAATGCAAACTCCCAAGTCACCACCAAGAAGAGAATGGTGCCAGCATTTTAGAGGCCTCCTGGATTATAGCCCTTGCTTCTCCATCTGTCCTGTATTTTTAGTGAAGTCTTCAGCTGCACAGTTAGGGGTTAAAAACAAAGCATGACTGCTAAAAAATCTGACCATTGTGTAACGAACATTTGTGACTCCATACATTTGTGAGTGGTAGGTAGATAACGTAAGTTTTCAGGAAACAAGTTTGCTCCCTCCTTTAGCCCACCATGGGACTAAATGGGTTGCTTTCTCACTGATCTGAGATCATTCGTTGTTCCATATCAGCTTTGCCAGTTTTCTGTTTTACATAACTGTTCTCGTGTAAAAGTCCTCTTGCAAAGTCGAACTTCCATGTCAGCAATTTAGAATCATTTCTCACATGAGACACCTCAGCAAAACGTAGGTTGAAATATTTTATTTTTGATGCATCATTTGTTTTGTAAATGCCACATGGAAGAAGTGATTTGCATTTATTTTTAATGTGCTGCATAGAAAGCATGAGTTGTGCTACTGAAAATGCCTTACGGTTTAACCTTAAACTGCCGTAAGATTGTCTTGAATCAATGTGTTCATTACACAAAACCTTTAGGCAGTTGATTTGATGTTGATGAATCAGGGTTCTGAGTTAAGGATGTACAGAGGAAGTAAAGTAGTTAAGATAAAGAGGTAGAAAGGTGATCCTACTTTGAAAGATGGATTCACCACAATGCTCTCAGGTCAGGTGGACTGTGAGGCAGGCTTTGGATAGTGTGGGGGTAAGAACTTTTCCGTGAAGAGCTGAGGCGTCCATTGTTGCTTTCAAATGAGGGGCTACTTTCTGATTGGAAAAGAAAGGACCCTTTTCTTCAGTACTAATAGCAGTACTCTTTTCTAGCGTAGAATAAGATATGTATTTCTTGTGGAGAGCAAAGCATTGGGCAGAACTTTTAAAAATACTTGTAAAAGGGGCGCCTGGGTGGCTCAGTGAGTTAAAGCCTCTGCCTTCGGCTCAGGTCATGATCCCAGGGTCCTGGGATCGAGCTCCACATTGGGCTCTCTGCTCAGCGGGAGGCCCGCTTCCTCCTCTCTCTGCCTGCCTCGCTGCCTACTTGTGATCTCTGTCTACTTGTGATCTCTGTCAAATAAATAAATAAAGTCTTTTAAAAAAAAATACTTATTTAAAATATGTATTTAGTTCGGAAGTGCTGTGAAAACCTCTTAATCATTTTATTTTCTATTTGTTTTCACTACTTTTATAGACCTCTCAGTGGACCAATTTTTTGTCCCTTTTTGTGTGTTTGTACATTTCATATGAAAAGAGAAAGGAAAGATTATGTAGAGAGAGGCGAAGTAAAGTAAAGTTGTGGGCTTTTTTTTTTTTCTTGAGTTGAAATCATTGTGAGTTTTTCAAAGTTGATGTTACCTAAAACCATATTACTCCCGGAAAGATTACATGCTTTTTTCTCTGCCAGTTATCAGGATTCTGTCTTAACTCTGCTGTGATTTTTATCGTGTCTAGCTTTTGACTTACTGTAGAAATTTAGCCCTGATACAGTCAGGAAAGCCTTTGAAATACTGAATTGAGATGATGTCTTTTGCCCCTCCATGTCACAGCTCTGCTGTGGAATTATGGTTAGTGAGGGAGTGATAGAAAAACTAGGTTTTGGGGAGATGCAGCTGCTATTGTAACCAGTCTGATGTTAAACACTGTAATATTTGGCATGCCTCATTTTTATATGAAGGTAAAACTTCTGTTCATGTTGGTTCATCTTGTTTTCTGTTAGTCTCAGGATGATGATCATGTATTTGAAATGACAGCCTGCAGTTAAAGGGCGGGGGGCGGTTGTGGTCATGGGAACCTTTAAAGTATCTGCCAAATCAGCTGATCTTGACCTCATTAGCTGGCACTGTATTTCAAACTTTCTGAGTTTAACTGGCTTAGATTCATATTTTGGTTTGGTGTTAAGGGAGAAGAGATACTCATTTGGATCTGTGTTGGCCTGTACTTCCCCTCTATGAACAGTTTAAAGAATTTATCTTCCTCCACCTGAATTCCTCCTCCCCCTATTTTTTCCTTCTCCTTGTCTCTGCTGACTTCACATTATTTTCTCTTCTCATTTTCTCTAGATTACAGTACATACAGCCAAGCTGCAGCCCAGCAGGGGTAAGTCAGTCTTTTGTAACAGTACTTTGGGTATGATTGATTATAATGTTTTTAGAGTACCAAGCCTCCTGGAGTTGTAGAGGACTTTTTAATGGAATCTGAATGCTCTGTATTCAGTTCTTGCATTTAATTTCTTTTACAGCTACAGTGCATACACCGCCCAACCCACTCAAGGATATGCACAGACCACCCAGGTAATCTTTAAGATATTTGGATGTGGTTATATCCCAAAACAAAGTATTTCTGTCCTCCATTAAAACAACAGCTAGTATAGCTCTTTTTTAAAAAAAATCAGGTACTAGGAAAGTATGATGTG